TGCTCCCCTGCATCAGGCCTGGGTCCACTACTGCCCTCCCCCTGCTTCTGCGGCGAGAAGGGAGGGAACGGGCCCAGACCCCAAGCAGCAGGAGGGAAGGAGGGAGCAGGCCCAGATGGGGGGTGGGGCCTGGGGCTCCATCCCCGCCTGCTCCAGTTCCAGTCCTGAACCGATCGGGGCTGAGTGACTAATACCTGGAGTCTTGAGAGGACAAAGTTAGGGTTTGCTGTGTGTTTGGGTGTAAAGTCTTGCCCCTCACCCCACTGCAGGTCAATGAAGAGCCAGAGCCCAGGAGATCCTATGTGAGGAGAGATCCTGCTAAGTACTGGTCAGGTGCCCCAGTCACCTGAAATGATGTGGACCAAGCACAGCAAGGGCTGCTCAGGGCTGATGGCTCAGGGACCCCTTTGGTAATAGTCACAGTGCTGATAGAGACACTGGCCCTTCCCCATCAGAGCTGGTCTGTGCCCTTCTGCACACTGCTGGGGTCTGCAATGGGAATGGAGACGGTGCTGAGCAGGGATCAAACCAGGCTGTCACCTGACCTGCTCCAATCAAGTGAACACTCTTGACTCTGTCCCTCGCATGGCCATGTACACAGCTGAGCTGGCTGGACTGAGCTAGCTGGACTGAGGAAAGCACCTTTCTTCTGTGTCTGGACAAGAGTTCAGCAGACCTCCCCTGGGACTGGCAGGTGCAGCCGTGTCCCTGGGGCGAGTGAGGGGCTCCCTGTCCTGTGACGGATGTTACATGGGGTCACAGCCTCCCTTCACCTCAGGTCAGAGCTCTTATCTGCTTCACCTACAACCTATCTCCAGTCATTTGTTTTCCTAGACCATCACAGAAACTGTTTAGCACATCCCACATGTCTCCAGCACTCACCTTTCTCAATCTCCAGTTCACACTGCAGGGCTGCTAGGGAGAGAAGGACAAGAGAGGTGAGATGTCACCCTGTCGTGTCCCTGGGAATCATCTTCCTGGTTGTATATAACTGGCCTCAGGCACTCACCTTTCCCACTTTCTGTCTTCGATTGCAAAGTTCCTGGGGGAGAGAAGGATAAGAGATGATGAGATTTCACCTTGTCCAGTTTCTACTGAGGTTCTGTCCATGAAGTACATGAGGAAATAGGTTGACACAGACAGGTTTGCAGTAGCTACTCTGCACACCACATCCATGCTGTCTGGCACTGACCTGCTCCAAGGCATGGTTCAAACTGCCCCTCTTTCCTATCCCCTATTGGACCAAGGTATTTCCCAAAGGAGCCATCTCACTGTCAGGTCCCCTCTAACTCCTGCCACTGTGGCAGGGGGGAACTGAAGGTTAAGCTATAGAAAAGAGAGACTTGCTGAGGTGGGCTGGTGACCCCCATGGTACTGGAAGAACTTTTTGCTGCTCAGATGGTGGGTCTTACGTATGCAGTTAGGATTAATCACATGCTCAGGAAGAGGTTGTCTCCCGAGTCAGGGGGACATAGGGCAAAGAACACTGGTTCATAAAATCTGTGAAAAACTGGGGTTGTCTATAAATAATTAAGCAAGGATGAGCTTGATAGACAGGCAGAGTACAGCTCCACCACCCAATATCTGAGCAGGAGCGTGGTGCCCAAGGAATCACCATTCAGTCCAGCCCATGGACCATTTGCTGTGTGGGCAGGAACCGGCTCTGCTCTCCCAGCTGCCCTGGTATATTCTCTTCACCCAGGCTCTGCACAGAAAGCCTGGGCACAGGGCAGGGCTTCCTGGCTACCTGAAAAGGCTCCCTTCCTTCCAGTCTCACCTCCAGCCAGATGACTTCTCATCCCTGGCCATCTCTTCCAGGGCAGCTGCCTCTTCTTCCCTTCTCCTATCTTCTGTGGGGGTTTCTCCACAGCTCTGCCCTCCTTTGCCCTTTCTCCTCCACACCAATCAGCACTTCACATCCTCTTCAGCTGGCACCTGGTGCTGACAACTTTAGGATCCACCTCCTGCCCCTCAACTGCCTCCTCCCCCACAACCCCAGCCTGGCTGTCTCTCTGCCCTTTGCTCTAGGCTATCTCCTGCTCAGGTCACAGCTAAGGGAGGGCAAAGAAAACTTCTCATTTCCCCTCTCATCCTTTCTCTCTCACTGCATGGAGCAGCACCCTCTGCCCCTCACTCAGCCCCACAGTGTGACCTGGCCTCTTCTAAATCCTGACAGCCCAGTTTCTCATCCAGCACTACCCTACTTCACTCTTGCCACAGCTAATCCAGCCCCTTGTCTCCAGCCCCCCACAGTCATGCTTCCCTCGTAGACCATGGCACGTGGAGACAAGCACTGTGCCTGGGAGCTCCCATGCAGCACTGCAGAGGGGTGGGACAGAGCATAAGGCAGCAGGTGCTGGATGGATGAGGTTTCTTGGGGAGTTCGTCAGCAGACAGCACAAAGCACACACAGCTTCTGCTCCAAGGAGAGCCTCAAAGAGCTGCTGGACATCCGCTGCAAAACATGAGACTTCTCCCTTCCCTCCTGTGGGAAATTAATGAAGGAAATTTACCTTTTTCTATGAGGTGCCTCTCTGAAACAAACAGCAGGAGAGACGTGTTACACAGATGAATATTGGATGTCAGTGAGGAAGAGTGCCAAGCAAAGACTTTCCGTCTACTATCTATACTGACAGGGTCTCTTCCTCATTGCTCCCCTTGTCAACAGGCCAGCTGGGTACCCAAATCGTTTGCCCTGACATATGGGATGGAAGGAGTTTTCAGTAACTTATGGGGGCAGCACATTCCAAGGGTGAGGAAATCAGCCCGAGTCCCAGAATTACATTCCCAGGAAAGCTTAGGGCAAACTGAAAAGAAGCTGCAACAGGTTTCATAGTTTCATAGTAGTTTCTTGGTTACATCCTGGAAAAGCAGATGAGGCACCTAAAACCCCTTAACTCTGCCCTGAAGTGACACCTGGAAGAAAGGGAACCCCTAAGGTATCTTTAATAACCACAATACCTTGTCTTAGATCTGTAGACCCAATCCTGCACTGATAAGGGCTGTGAGACTAGTACCTGGGGTCTAGACAGGCAGAGTTGTGTTGGTTGTGTATTCTGGGTAAAGTCTTTCCCTTGCTCCACTGCAGGTCATGCAAGGGCCATAGCCCAGGGAATACTATTTGAGGAGGGATCCTGCTAAGTACTGGTCTGGTCTCCCAGTTTCCTGCAATGATGTGGACCAGGCAGGGTGAGGGCTCAGGGAGCCCTTCTGTAATAGCCAGTGCTGATAAAGAAACTGGCCCTTCCACATCAGAGCTGCTCTGTGTCAGCAGGAGCAGCCCTTCGGTGTACTTGCTGGAGTCTGCAATGAGGGCGGAGATAGCCCTGAGCAGGGATCAAAGCAGGCCGTCTCACCTGACCTGCTAGAATCATGAAAATGATCTTGGCTTTCTCTCCTGCATGGCCCTGCACAGAGCTGAGCTGGCTCGGCTGAGCTGCTGGGGCTGAGGAAAGCACCTTTCTTCTGTGTCTGGACAAGAGTTCAGCAGAACTTCCTCTGGGACTGGCAGGTGCAGCTGTGTCCCTGGGGTGAGTGAGGGGCTCCCTGTCCTGTGACGGATGTCACATGGGGTCAGGGCCTCCCTTCAACTCAAGTCAGAGCTCTTGTCTGCTCCAGCTGCAACCTCTCTCTCCAATCATCTTTTTTTTTTGCTAGAAACGATCACAGAAACTGTTTAGCACATCCCATGTGGCCCCAGTACTCACTTTTCTCCCTCTCCAGTTCAGACTGCAGGGCTCCTTGGGAGAGAAAGGGTAGAGGTGAGATTTCACCCTGTCCAATTTATAGTTAGGTTCCTACCATGAGCAGGGTTGGGCTGTAATGATGGACATGAGGAGATGAGCTGACACAGGCAGGCTGGCATTAGCCTCCCTGCACACCATGTCCCTGCTGGCTGGGAGTGACCTGCTTCATTGCATGGTTCAGACTGTCCCATTATTTCCTATCCCCTCTAGGACCTGCTCTAAAAGTCTCTTCCAAAGGACCTCACATTGTCTAGTCCCCTGTGACTCCTGACTTTGTAGCCGGGGGTAACTGAATGTCATAATGAGGCAGAGGGAGATTGGTTCAGGAGAGCTGGTTCCACTGGCAGTACTGAAGCAAGAAATAAATTATCTCCTAGGTCAGGTTGGCCAGGACAGTGAGGTGGTTGGGTCCATTTACTGGGATCATCAGGCATCTTTTACCCAACAAATCCTTGCCCCTGCAGGTGCCCAAGGTGTTGCTGGGGACCCTTGTCTTTCCTGCTCTAGGACAGGCTCCAGGTTTTACACTTTGGTGTTTTTTTTTCCTTGATGTAAGCTGTCCCTGTGGTCACAGGTCTTTGTGGCAGTGCAGGGGAGGAGGGGGCAGGGGTGGGTGTTCTTGTGGGCCCTTTTGGCTAAATGTCCATTCTGTGGCTACCTGTGTCCCTTTATCTTTCTACTTTTTCTCCTAGTTCTGCCCATGCCCTGAGCTGACCCAGCTTCCCCTGGCTCCTGGAATGGGGCTCAGGAAGATGAAGTGGGTCAGCTGAGTGAAGCACTGATCTTGTCTTGATACAGGGTGAGCTCCACACTAGGCCAACTCCTTGTCTTGTAGATAGTCCCTGCCATTAGTTGCAAAGACAATGGGGAGAACCTGCCACTGGGACCAGGGTTCAGGAGATGTGTCTGTGAAGGCATGTGGTAGAGAAGCCTTTGTCCAGCACATGTTCATGTCAGCTTGGGCTTAGTGAAGGAGGCTAGGCCTGTGGTTCCACTTGGAGCTGGTCCCTTGGAGTGCCTGCCCTGAGATACATGTCCAGCAGGACATGGAGTCAACATGACGGTCACTGCTGAGCACAGCTGGACCAGAGCAGCTGGGCCCAAGTATCTGCTGTGTCTGAGAACAGACCTGCAGGTTCTGAGTGCGATTTCTGTGTTACAACAACTGTAGACACCAGATCACACTGCAGCCACCGGCAGCTGCTGGCTGACTGCCACCCTGGGAGACCAGGGAGCAAACCAGCAGGGAGCATTCACAGGACACAAGACACATTAACACATCAATGTGCAGTACAGTTTGTTCCTGTGAAAGGATCCCAGGCTGAGCAGCCCTAGTACTGAAAAGGGAACGGCTGGCTCCCCTCAGCACCGCTTTGCACATCCACAGCTCTTACTAGCCCGAGAGGACAGGATTTGGCCCGAAGCACCTCCCTTCCTCCCAGACCCTTTCCCTTCTGCTCCGCCTGCAGGCAACAGGACAAACATGAACAGACTCCCGGCACAGAGCTCCTCCCTCCTCATCCGTGCGTCCAGCTGACAGCACTGATCCCGGCGGGACAGCGCACTGCGTGTTTGGTCTGGGCTCTTCACTGAGCTCCAGGGCCTGAATCCACGGGGTCCCTTTCCTGGCTCGGATGTGGGGTCTGCTCTGCTCAGAAACTTCTCCCGCAGCTTCAGTCCATGCCCCAGTGCTTAGCGCTCCTGTCAGGTCCATCCTGTCCTGTCCCATCTCGGAGGAGCTCTCCTCCCCCCACACTCTCCCCACATTACCTCTTACATTACCTTTTGCACAGAGCAGCCGCCAGAGGCAGAAACCGCCCACGACAATGACAGACACCAGGATCCCCAGGATCACAGCCAGTGCCACCACTGTGGGGGAGACCCGTGTGAAAAAGTGATCTGCAAGAGAAAGTGTCATTCATTTGGCAGCCCTGAGTGATTAAATGCACGAAGCTGGGGGCAGCAGTGGCTTTCCCTGGGGCCCTCCTGACAGCACTCCTCCGTGCTTTCTGTTCATCATACTGGAAGCCCAAGCTCCAGCCCAGCTAATGCAACCACTGCCCTGCCCCCTGCCCTGAGGCAACAGAGTGGTAAATCCAGGAATAAATCAGACCCAGAGGCATGTGTCCTGGGTGCAGGAACCTCTCTCAGCCTGCAAGAAGAGATAACGACCCCCCCTTCCTCAGGGCATGACGGGATCCTCCTGGGAAGTGGCTGCCTCCTCCAGCAGGTCACCAAAGACAAGCACTGATCCTTCAATCACAGGCTGAAAGCTGAGCTCCATGTCAGTGCGAGGGTGTCCTGAATCACAGTGTGACCCCGCCACGCCAGGCAGTGCAGGCTGGCATGGCGCAGTCAGGTACTGAGGTGTTTGAGTGCCAGTCATGGAGCCCACAAACACACTCCCCTGCACAGATGCAGGCACACAGCAAATGCCAGCCTGGGAGCCAGGCTGCTCCTTATTTGTCCCAGGAGTTTGTCCCTAGTGCTCTGTAGATGATGTTCAGCTGAGGGCTCAGGGGAATCCTGCTGCTGCTCTCTCCCTCCAGGAGCTACCAATGAACCAAGAGCAAATCTAATGTTTAAAGTAGGCCTAAGATCAGTCAGGCCCTAACCAGAGACCTGCCAGGAGAGCATGGCAAGGTACCAGACACAGACCAAGAGCAGAGCAATAGCATGGGCAGCGCAGCCAGTTCAGGCCCAGGGGCAAGGTCATGGGGATGTATCCCAAGGAGCAGGGAAGTATGTCAGGGCATGTCTGCATGGTGCTGCAAAGCATCATGCTGGGATTGCTGCGCAGGGTCTGCACATGTAGCTGCAGACCCAGAAACAGCACGGTCCCCTCACACCATATCACACCTGGGGAATCACTGTCCTGTTGTCATGGGAGAGGGGGCAACTCTGGGAGCCCTGCTTTGGGGTGAAGCTTTCACAACACAGGCCTGATGTGGAGCCCCAAACTGCAGCCCTTACCATCTGGGTTTGTGTTTCTTCTCTCCATCCAGTGCTTTGTACCTCCACAGAGTGAGTCAGGTTACTCAGAGCCCAGGAGTCTCCTCTCTCCTAGCCTGGGGCCAATGCACTGGGGAGGGCCTTAAATGACTTGGGGCACAGCAAACTAAAACTCCTTCAAGGCTTTTTGGTTTGCTGCCCCTACAGCTGCACAATGAAGCACCGGGCTCTGAGCAGCTCAGGGGCTCTGCAGGAAGCCCTGCAGGAAGCCTGGCAGCAGCCCAGGAAAGCAGCTTTGCCCAAGAAAAGTGGCAAGCCTGATCTCCCCCTCTCCTCCCAGAGCCTGCCTGCCTGAGCTGCGCGGGGGCCTGGTGCTTCCCTCTGTGGCTGCAGTACCCCCGGGGCTGCCTAAGCTGGGTGACTGCGGGCAGGTACTGCCTGGTGCAGGGGGCGTTTCTGCCACAGAGGGAAGCACCAACCCCTCTCTACCTCCCCACAGCCCAGGCACCGCTCCGCTCCCCAGCAGCTCACTCTCCCCTCCCTGCTGCAGAGGCAGGCAAGTCAGCAGGGTGTGTGCACGACAGGGGGGTTTAATCAGCCCTAGATTGAAGCGGTGTTTTTTTCAAACCCACCACTTCAATTTAGGGCCCCTGTTTTGTCTACACAGGGGTAAAAGGCGCATAGCCCAAGGACACCAAGAACACTCTAACCTGGCACAAGACAAGTAGGGGACAAGGCACTGTCAGTGTCCTGCCACTGTAAGTTTGTTACAAGCACTTAAGAGATCCAAGGAAAAAGACCCTGCCCTCTACCTCCTGCTCTCCCACTGACTACAGAGGAAGGCAACCCCTCCCCACCCTGCTTTGTAGCAATGATATCACAGGGGGAAATTCTTTCCTGACCTCAAACATGGTGATTGGTCTGAACCTGAGCAGAAGGGCAACACCCTCTAACTAGAAACTGAGAATTACGGGGCCCTTGCACGAGTGACCAAAATGTTAATGTACACCCAAGGAACTTCACCCCTGATATCCTTGTGCACCTAAGAGACCCTGTTTGCACTGTGAAACTATATGTCAGAGCGCACACATGCAGCAGGGGAGGGTGGAGGTGGCTGTGGACAGTCCAGTCTGTGTGCAGTCCCATACAACAACTTTACTGGCTAGTGACTCTGGACACTCAGCCTGAGAAAGTCACAGAGTAGTGATGTGCTGAGCACCTGTCTTTGAATGCCAGGATCTATCAGGTGTCTCAGGTGGGCACCCAAAGGTGAGGCACCCCCAGTCCTCAGTCATTTCTGCAAACACTGAGCAAGAGTTACTGCTTGACCCCAGCCTGTGCTCACCCAGGCCCAGCTCTTGGCTCAGCCACAAGGAGCTTGACCTGAGTCCTGATGTCGGTGTTACTGCAAACTCCTGTGTTACCGTAAGCCCTGCTGAGAGCAGACCAGATGGGGTCTTGTGCTGCCCGGGGAAAGGGCTCAGTAGATGTCAGACACGTGAGCCCAGCAGTGACAACCCCTCCCCACTTCCATGTCCTGCTTGCAGCGTGCAAGGCACTGACCTGCAATATCAACTGTTGCTGTTTTCTCCTGGTTGAGGAGTGGGTTTCTGACAAAACAGGTCACTTTCTGGTTAGACTCTTCCATGATAATAATAGAAATCTCTGTGTGAAACAGTCCGTCGGTATCCGTGGAGATTTCCTCAAAGGTTGTTGGTAAAAGCTGCCCACGGCGATCTCTCCAGTGAGCCTTGGGCTCTGGGTACCATCCAGCTGATCGACACCCAACCTGTATCCCTCCATCCTGGTAGCCATCAGCAGAGATGTGGGGGCCAGAGCCCATAGCTAGAGAAGAGCAGAAAGAACTGGCATTAGCTCCAGCTGGGTGACATATAGTCTGTCACACCAGCGTCTATCTGAGCAGCACACTGCACCACGACACATGCTCATAGGTGATGCGTAGGGAGGGATGGGGGGACATGTGCCCCCCGTGACAGGGCTGTCTCTACCACCGACACTGCCAACATGTCTGTGGGTGCTCGCTAGCTCCGTCCCCACCACTGGCTTCTGTGGGTGCCCCTCCAAAACTCAGGAGGCACCAGTTGCCCACGCACATACTCTAAGGCAAAGGTTTCGTGTGTTCTGGACAGGGTGGGAGCACTGGGTGATATACACCCAGTTTGTAGCACCACAAGTCCTGCATCTGCCTTCTCAGTCCCAGCCAGGTCCCCTCAGCCCTTCACCTCCTCCCACCATAGAGAAACCAGATCCATGCTCAACCTGGCACTCCAGACCCTCCTGTAGCTGCTCCAGCGTGACTATGCCCTTCTGTACACAGGTCTATACAAGCACACACCCCAGCAGTTTGGGTGGCAGCAGTGTCTAATGGAAGGTTATTTGCTGTACTGCATCACAGTGCTTTTGTGGTCAGTCCAGTACCACGGTTGCTACCGTCTTTGTGCTGCCCCCACCATGGTCAGCAGCCAGGGCTGGTTCCCTAATCACACCTCCTTGTGGCACGGTGGGGTCGAGTAGCACCCTCTGATGACCACCACAGTCCTGCCTCCTCTGGTTCCTTGAGTCCTTCCCTCTCCCTGACCTGCCATGCCTTTCATATTGTTTGAAAAAGAAAAAAAAATGGGAGGCTGCCCAAGGCCTGGGTAGAGGGAACCCCTTGTTCAGTCTATCATGCTCTCTCAGTGTCTCCTGACACCAGGTGCCTTAAGAAGTGTGTTTGTGGTCTCTGGCCACCCCTACAGCCATTTCCATACCTTGCAGGTGTGACCAGTTATTTCAGGCCTTCTCAGGCCTGCACACCCTTGTCAGGGTTTTAGCCTTCCCAGCCTTGGCTCCTTTCCTCCAGCTGGCCCACTCTTGGGCTAGGTCCAACACACTGTACTGCAGCTGCTGGGCTCCAGCCCTTCTCGCTCTCTCCCTTTGGGTCATGGACACTAGCCCCTCTATGTCCCACGTCCCCACCCCCTGGCAGGGTTTCTTAACATGCCTCTCTGTCACTCTGTGACTTCTTTCCTTCCCTGATAATCACAAAGTGGTCCATTGGTAGCAAACCATAACAAAAGCAGGCTAGTGCCTTAAATAAATCCTCTCTGCATTAGGTAAGCCAAATCTATTCCAAATCCATGAGTCATTCAAGAACCCTATGTGGCCCTACTACCAGCAAACATCCCCCCTTCCCCACCCCCCACCCCACCTGGGTCTTGGATGCTTCCAAACCCTTTGGCAGGCTGCCTACATGCAGGCCCAAGTCCGGAGGCTTGGGGTTCAGATGCCCCCGAATTTTGCTTGACCTCCTCCCTAGGAGCAACCTAGGGAGGAGCCTCCCGGTAACATAAAATGGGCATACAGCCAAGATCTTCCTACTGGAAGAGGAAGTGGGAGACTATGCCTTACCTTAGTCAAGGTACTATCCCCTGCCAAGGAAGTGGTTTTCCCCTGCAACTAGGAAAACCACCTTAGTGGTCATGGCATTTCCCCTGCCAAGTAAGCATTTTTTTATTGTCCTACCAAAGACAATAATATTATCTAACTAAACTAATACTTGAGTCATGTGCATATCCCCAACTACCTCCTCCATTAGTCGTTGGAAGCTGGTGGTAGCCCCAGATATGCCTCAGGGCATCCGCTTAAACTGATAAAACCCAAGGGGGGAGACAAAAGCACCTTTTTCCTTGTCCTTCTCTGACAGAGGCATTTGGTAGTAGCCACTGTGGAGGTCGAGTACCAAAAACCACTTGCTCTCTACTAAATAGTCCAAAGCCTCCTGTACTCATGGGATGGTGAACTGGTCAGTGATGGTACAAGCGTTCAATGCACAGTAGTCAATGCACATACAGAGCTGGCCATTGTTCTGTTGATGGGAGAGGCATAAGGGCTCTTAGACTCTGTGATGATTTGCTGGTCCATGAGTTCTTGTAGATGGCGCGTCACCTCCTTCTCTACAAGGGGGACTTTTCTTAGAAGGGTCAGGGATCACTGAGGTGGATGTGGTGCTCCACCCGCTTTGCCCCTCTCACATCCCAGTCAGGCATAGGGAAGACACAGGATCCAGCCTTGAGCTTCTCCCTGAGGTCTTCCTTCCACAAAAACATTGAGGGTCAACAGGAGGGGGGCTGCCTCCCAGCTCGTGGGTCACCACTTCAGCTTCCCCCATGTCAGCCACCTTTTGTCCTGGGTGGACTACAATATATCCCATAGTCAGGTTGACCACTATCACAGTCATCACTTTTTGATCAACTCCTTGTGTCTCAGTTACCCATTCCAGGACCTTCAATGCCCAGGGGTTCCCCTTTCTTGTGGGAGTCTCCAATACCACCAGTTTGCTCCTTTCCCCCCCTTCCACCCATCTACACACAGTGGGCAATGCCCACTGGATCTGCATAGGGCCCTGCTGAGGTTCCATCCCAGAGAAAAGTAATGCATCCAGAACCCACTTTCCTCCGTGTTTCCACCAGTCATAAGCCTCTGAGCACAAAGCATGCATCTTTAGCAGCTGTTGGTAATCTGGGCCAGCTTGCTGCTTGTGATACTGAGCAAGAACCTGGAGGAGGCTGGAGTTTGTCCCTACAATGATGGAGGCCCCCTTCATCCACCCCAGGTCAGGGCACACTAGAGCAATGGTCAATACTTCTTTCTCCACTCCACTCCAGCTATTGGAGCATGGAATTTTATTCTTATATTCATGTAACCCCTGTAGGGATACTGCTCCTGGCCCAAGCCACAGGGTCCCAGCCCCGTAAGGGGAAGCAGAGGTAAGTGCTTCAAATGCTCATCATAAAAGGATTTAAATAGTATGGTAACCTGGAACCCACTGTCTAGAATAGCTTGGCATGTGCGACCATTCAGGGCCATGTGGACTTTCACTCAGGAACCCACTAATCCCTTTGGTAGGGCACTCAGAGGGTAATGCTTGGGAGTCTGGCAGGTTCTGGGGCAGAGCCAACTCCCTTGCTCTGCCCCTTCCCCATTTCCCACCTCCCATCGTGCTTTAGTCATTGGAATACCAACTCTGGGTTATCTGGCTGTGTACACTCCTGGGCCATGTGCCCATATTTCCCACATGTGTAACAGAACCCTGGGGCCCTAGTGTGGGCATCTGCCCAAGGTCTACCTGGGGTACAAGGATTGGGTGGGGACTGTGCCCTAGGGGGCATCTGAGCTACAGCGACTGCCAGGGCTCGGTTCCAAGGACTCCTCCCCTGTCCCTAAGGAAGCCTCCTCTTGGGGAGCCATGGTCAAAACCCAGCTAATGGGTCCTCTCCAGGGAGGAATATCCTCCCAGGCCCACATAGTCTCCAGCAGCCAGACAAGCAGCAAGCGTACCAGTGACCGATTGGCAAGAGTACTGGTGCCATGCGGGCAGCAGAAGTGCTGGCAGCACAGCAGCAGTGGAAGTGCTGGTGACGGCAGCAGTACTCACTGCTGAGTACCCCCTGAGGCCATCCCAAGTACCCCCAGGGGTAAGTGTACCCCCCGGTTGAAAACCCCTGATCTAGAGGAGAACACGGTGATCAGAAACAGTCAGCATGGGATCACCAAGAGCAAGTCATGCCTAACCAATCTGATCTCTATCTATAATAAAATGACAAGCTCTGTGGATAAGGTGAGAGCAGTGGGCGTAGTATACCTTGCTTTATCAAGGCTTTTGACATTGTCTCCTACAACATCCTAATTAATAAGCTAAGGAAATACAGACTAGATGAAAATAATGTTAGGTAGATATGTAATTGGTGGGATCAATGTACTCAGTGAGCATGTCTACATGTGCATTTGAGAACGCCTAAATTTAATGTGCATTAGCTTAATGCACATTCAGCAGGTTTAAGCAGACATGTACAGACATTAAAGTAATGCTGGGTGTGAACTGACTTGGGACTAAAGTTAGTCCCAAGTTAGTCCACACACACAGTGCATTCAGTCACTTGAACTATTTGCACCTAAATTTGATGCCTGCATTTTCAGGTGCCAAATTTAGGCATGAAGGGCATTTATACACATAACTTTTTGTCCCCTGATGCTCTGGAGATCCAGAGTGTCAGACCAGACTCAATTAAACAAGACTGCTGTGCAAGCCATCTGATGTGCACTGCATTGCACCCGTGCAGTTGTATAAGCAGTAAAATGTGTGTCAGCATGCAGAAAATAATGGCAGTGCACTTTTGAACTAAAACACCTTTGATGTGTTTTAGTTCAAAAGTGTGCCGCTGCCATTTTCTGTGTGATGATGCGCATTTCATCGCTTATACAACTGCAGCGCTTGCATGTATAAAAATGCTCAAATAGCTTAAATTCACCATTTTTAATGTGCTTTAAGGGGCACAAATGTAGAGATGTGCCTTTAAAGTGCTTTAACTTAGGCTAATGTGAATTAAAGTGTTACGTGTCGATGTGCTTAATAAGTAGTCTTCAGTGGTTCAAAGTCTAGCAGGGAGCAAATGTTTGTCTGGTGTTGATCAAAATACTTCAGCTGATGGGACTGAGTGCACACTTAAAAATCTGCAATGACACCAAGTTGGGTGGAACTGTGGACACCCTGGAAGGCAGGGCTAGGATCCAGAATGACCAGGATACACTGGAGAAATGGTCCACAATCAATGAAATGAGATTCAACAAGGACAAGTGCAAAGCTGTGCACTTGGGACAGAATAAGTGCATGCACAAATACAGACTGGGGAGCGACTGGCTAGGAACTCATAGTGCAAAGAAGGACCTGGGAGTTATGGTGGACCATGAATTGAATGAGCCAACAGTGTGCTCCTGTTGCAGAAAAATGCCAGTAGCATCCTGGATTGTATTAACAGGAACTTCATTTGCAAATCGCAGAAAATGATTCTTCCACTCTATTCAGCAGTAGGGCTGTGCATAACAGTAGTAGTGGCTAGTATTCACTTCGGATTCGGCCGATTTGGGGGACATTGATTTGATTCAGTGATTCAAATCACTGTCCTGAATTGATTCAGCCGAATCTGATTTGGAGATTCGGCTGCTGCTGAATCAGCCAAATCTCCAAATCAAACAGGCCCCATCCATCCATTGCCCCCAATGGCTGCCCCGCCCGGCCCCAGTTCCTGGCTTTTTGAAAAAAGCCACCACTCACCGGCTTCTGCCTGAAGGGGGTGGGAGCAATCCCCACTGCCCTCCACTGCCCCGTGCTGCATGGGGGGCTCTGCATGAGCCTCCCCCCCCCATGTCTGCCCTGCCAGACATAGCTCTGGCCCTTTAAAAAGGAAAAAAAAAACAAACCCAAAACCCGGGACTCACCAGCTCCTGCAGCAGCCTCAGGGCTTCATGGGGCTTGTGGAAGAGCCCCCTATGCATCACAGGGCAGCTGGAAGCAGCAGGGATCACCCCCTGCTGGGCAGGAACCAGTTGCTGGGGGGGCATGTGCTCCCCTTGACTAAGGCGGCACCAGTCGCACATGCCAGGATGCCCTGGCACCTGACTGAAAATCCCTCTACTAGCAATTGAATTAAATGGGTAGAGAACAGTGCAGTGCAGAACTTCTGCCCCATTGGGAGCAGTGTCAAGTCTAGGATCCATGGCCTGCTCCGTTCCCCAAAAGCAGCCATCTCTCTGAGGAGGCACAAACCCTTTTTTGTCCTGTCCCCACATATCTTCCTCACAACTGACAAAAAAAGGAGGACTGTTGTTCTCAGCAGTGTTCTCAGTTGAACAAGAAAAACCCACAGAGAGCAACACAAACTGAAAGGGTAGCTCTGAGACAGGAGCCCTGCTCCATCCATCTCAGCAGTTGCTCTCCTTCCCTCTATGTGGTGTCAGCACTTGAAGACCTGTGCTCTACGATGAACATACTTGTTGTTGTAAGTGCCTGACAAGATCATCTCATGCAAGAAGCAAAGTAAAGAGCCAAGAGTAGAACTGTGAAAAGAGAGAGGAGAAATTCCCAGCCATACCTGACAAACAGTCAGCAGAAGAAAATAAATTGATTGCTGGGAGATCAAGACCACCCCCAAATGTCAGGAGTCGGGGGCCATAAATACCTACAGTGTGTAAGAGGAAATTTAGGAATCAGGTAAATTAGGGTGTTCTTAGCGTAACTCTAAGAACCAAGAGCTAAAAACACTATCACAATTTTTGACACGTTATAATCTACCTGATTTACACTTCCTGTGCATGCTTGCTTTCCTCCTCAGACCTGATGAAGGAAGCCTTGCATTTGACAGCTTGTTTAACTTTATTCCAACTGGGCAGTTTGTTCAATGGAAGATACTTCCCTCCCCAGCAAATTCTTGCCTCTAGCATAACTATTTGTCCACAAGGTATGTCTGACTTTGGGAGAGGAGCCTGGGGCCATGATTACAGACCAGACTGAGGGGATCTCACACTTCATTGCTTGGGTCAGCTGAGCTCATCACACACATGGATTCTCATCATATGCCATTCCTGCCAGAGACGCAAATCCCCTTGTTATGATTCATGGGATGAGGAAACTGTCCAATGCATGGCTGATAGCGGTTGAATTAGAACATGGTTATTGAGATGTGGTGCAAAGCACAGAGCACAGAGAGCTCCAGCCTTCTTGCAAAAGGGTCTGGAAACAGGTTGGAAGCTGCAGGGAAACTCTCCAAGCCAGGTTCAGGTTAGAAATGTTACTGCTTCTGCATCAATTGCAATGAACAGCTCCTGTGCTCATCTCAGTTCATATTGTCTAATTTACATCTTCTTTCTTTTTCCGCAGTGATAAAGCGATTACAACTTCTGTACAACTGACATTTTCTGCCCCAGCCTTCTCCCTCCTCAGCCCTCCAGGACAGCACACAGGCTACCCCAAGGACAGGAAACACAAGGAAAATCCTCCCAGTCTGCTCTCAGGAAACAGATACCAACACTCAGTCTGAACTTGAGGCTCCTGCCCTGGTCATCTGGCCCTGGTTACTTTACCAAGGTGTTGGGGGGCATCAGAACAGAGGCAGGTGGGGACCAGAATAGCAGCAGGGGGGCAGGAGTCCCCTCATTCTTCCACTGACCCTCCTTCCTCATAGAAGACACCATTGCTGGGGGGAAGGGATGTCTGCCTGGCCAAGCAGCCACAGGGTTAACCCTCTTGCAGCACCCACCAAATTGAGGCTTTTCTAGTGTCATTCAGCATACAGCTCAGCAGCAACCGTGAGCTGTTTCATCTCAGAGCTGGGCGCCATGCAAAGACATCCCCTGGCAGCAGCAGTGTTTCAGGCAAGGGGTGGGGAGAAAGAGGTGCAAGGGAGTGAGGCCATGAAGGTACTCCAGTCTCCTCTTCACAAGGCTGGAGCCTTCACCCCTGCCAGGTAAGCTCCTAGGTGAGCAACTGCTGCGGCAAATAAGACTCTGTTAATCCCCCCATCTCCATTCTCCCATGCTGAGCACAGCCCTCACTCCAGCACCTGGCTCTGCTATCTACACCACCTCTGTCAGCACTGAAGGCACCTAAAATGAAGGTACTAGTAGCTGAGAAAAGACAAGTGAGTTCCTGTCACCTTCACCTGAGCCCGACAGTCCCATTCAATACACTCTGAGTGGGTCCAAACAGCAGAGGCACTGACCTGTCACCTGCAGGTCCAACAGAGCTTCTTCATAGGAGCTACCAGACTGGAAAGAGCACTTGTACTGCCCGTGGTCAGAAGGTCGGACACTGCATATTATCAGGAAGATGCTCCCGCTGGTGATGTCATCCTTTATGAGCCAAGTCCTCCTTTGATATTCAGGCATCTGCTGTGCATACTGATCCGTCTATGTTGGTACAAGTGCACGTAGGGAGAGAACCAGGACCGGAACCACCGCACCTCCATGTCCTCAGCGTTCATATGGGGGGAGAGGCAGCAGGGGAGGACAGCAGCTTCTCCCACAGAGACGATGATGGGCTGGGCTGGTCCAGTCACTCTGAACTGGGCTGGGAGCAACGCAGGACACCAGAGAAAGGAAGAGTCAAGAACAGCATCAGTGCAGTGGGTGGACAAGGGCAAACCTGCATCCCCAGCAGCCTGAGGACCTATGCACCTCCCACTTTCCCTAGGTATGTCATAGGGGAGGAGCAGGGCTGGGGATTCAAGCCATACCTTAGCCCAGGGGCAGGCAATTATTTCAGTTGGAGGGCCACTTAATGAGGTTGCAGGCGCTGTGGAGGGCCACATGGGTAGCCCTGCCCCCCATCATCATCTTGGGACTGGAAGTTCCACCTCTAACCTCTGACCTTTTCCACCAGAAATGCCTCCCCTTGCCCCACAGAAATGCCCCTTTTGGGAGGGGGGGTTGCCATTTTAGAATCAGAAAAAAGCCAAATCATACACTAAAAGTCAAACACCTATTTTAACTTTATTACAAAAAATATTTTTGTCATGATTTGTGTGTGAATAGTGTATATAGAGGTGATTGCATAATAACTGAAAAATAAATGATTAGGCTTCTATATTGTGGGGGTGTGGGGGGGCAGGTGGGGGTTGTGAGAGGTGTGGCTGTGTGTGGAGGGCATAGCGTATGTTGGGAGTTGTGTATATGTGGGGGGTTGTAGGGGCAGGGTGTGGGTATGTTGGGTTTGTGGGGAGTGAGGAAGTGTGGGGAGGTGTGAGGACCTCCCACAACACACACTCCACACATGGCGCAGCAGCAACGGGCAGGAGTGCTCTGGGTGCTGGTGCCCAATGGGGTGCAACTCTGAGCCATGCTGCACATCATGGAAAGGGGCTAGGGTTGCCAATTCTGACTGAAGCTATTCCAGGAGATTTTTGTTTTCCAGCATGATGTAATATCATTAATAGGGGTGCACTGATAGAGATTTTTTGGGCTATTACCAATGGCCAACTTTTAATGAGCCGTATCGGCTGACAGTGATCCGATTGCCAATATGCAGCCGGACAGCTTGGAGAGAAGCATCCAGCTGGTAAGTTTGTTGAGGGGAAAAGGGTGGGGAGGGAAGGGGCAGGAGGGAAAGACCAAGGCCCCTGATGTGAGGGAGGGAGTGGGGCTGGGGCAGGGGCAGGGGCAGGAGCAGACACTGTACAGCAGGGGCAGAGTGCAGGACAGAGCCATGAGTGGCAGGTCTGTGGGGTGCACAGCGTGGCTCCTGCTGCTGCACACACCCCAGGAGGGTCGGGGGCCTATGATTCTGGATCTATATGAGGGTCAGGGTGGGCTGTCACTGAAGGCTGGTGCCAAGCTGGTGCTGGGCTCTTCCCAGTGCAGGGCTGGGCTGGGCTATGCTTGGGGCAGGCAGCAGAAGTGCTGGGAGGAGGGCTATGATGGGGGGGACCTGCAGCCACCTCAAAATTCACCACTCCCAGCACTGCCTCCACCCACCCAAAGTGCAGCCCCTGACCAACTCCCCTGCCAAAAGCCCAGCCCCAGCCCCACTCCCTCCCTCACTGCTGGGGCCTCAATCTCCATTCCCCCCATTCCCTCCCCTCACAACAGACTTACCTGCTGGACCTGACCGCTCTCCATGCTGCTGGGCTGCACTTCTGGCTGCCTGTGTGCTGCACTGTGGCTGTGTGCATGCACAGGGCATTTATTAGGGACATTATCAAGCACTTCAGCTAAAAAAAGTCAATTGCCAATACTGTCAATTTTCCTTATATCAGTGCTGATCCAATATGGGACAGATACATCAGTACACCTCTAGTAATTAATGAATTAATTGTACTGTTCAAACCATTCACAGTATCAATCTCCTGGACTGCTTTCAATAATCACCAGTGCTGATTCTGGTAGACTCCTGGCCAATCCTATAGAGTTGGCAACTTACAAGGGGCGCGGCCTTTGCTGGGTCACCTGTATTGCCAGCACTCCCCGCATTCATTCATCAGACACAGGAGGTGCCCTGCTCTCCCCACCAGGGCTGCACTGCAGAGGAGAGAAACCCTGGGCACCTTCCCATGTGGGCAGGGAGGGAAGCCAGCTCCAGCACTTGGGGCTTCCCTCCCATGCTGCAAGTGCAGGGAGTGCCTGTGATACAGACTACCCAGTGGAGGCTGTGCCCCTTGCTGTGATGTGTAGTGCTGGCTGGAGCTGCGCCATGCTGGGTACCAGAGCCCTGAACGCTGCCTGCTGCTGCTGCCAAACACCCATGGGGTTGTGTGCCATGGAAGGAGTCTGGAGGGGTTCCCACACCCACCACCATACCTCAAACTCACATGCTGCCAAGCCGAGCTCCATGATGCTGCTGCCCCCCTGGGCATGGGCTCCATGCTGCCACCAGCCCCAGCACCGTGCTCCACACTCCTGCCCAGCTGTAGCCTGCCCCTGCCCCTCAGTGCTTCCCTACCTGGTGCCTGGTGCCTGGAGCCAGCAGGAGACTGGGTAAGCAGAGCAGATCCTTGGGGGCTGCAGTAACAGCAGCAGCAGCAACAGAAGCCCTGCCTGGAAGCTGTGTTCTGGTCAAGCCGGGCCCTTCAGCCCAAGAGCAATGGGAGCGAGGTGCAATAGGGTATGTTGCGGGGGGTGTACACGTGGGCAGCTAGCTCTCACCCTCATGGTTGGAAGGGCTGGGCAGGGCACAATTCCTTGGTGGGCACTGGTGGCCAAATGAAAATGCCTGGCAGGCTGGAACCAGCCCACTGGCCGTATTTTGCCCACCCCTGCTTTTGCCCATGGAGATGAAGCGATGTCTCAGTCCAGACAAGCTGACAGTTACATTTCAGAGGACAGAGACTGTTCAGAGGGGTGGAATAAATGACTGACTGAACAGGTACATCAAAGACAGTGAGCCAGGCCAGTGAGACGGCCCACAGCCCAGTGGCAGTAAGTGCCAAAGGGCAAGGTCTCTACAGAGCAGTGGATGCAAGGCAGGAAGGGGAGGGAAGCAGCTGGCAGTGGGCTGGTTCGGAGAGGGAGGGTGAAGTGAGGCAGCAAGCAAGTCCAGCACCTGGGCAGAAACAGGCCTGCAGGGAGGGGTTCATGAGGGGTGGGAGGAGGGGTGTTCAATGACTGCCCTGGGGTGGCCCTGGATCCCATGGGGGCAGTTGTAGAAGGGGGTGACATGGTCACATCTCTGCTGTACAAAGTGTCACAGGGCAGCAGACCTCAGTGTGAGAACAGCAGTAAATACCATGTGGAAACACAGGCACCTACCTGCCATCAGCTGGTGAATCTGGAGTGAAACCAGGAGAGTGATGCAACTGGGCAGAGAGAGGCTCACTATGGGGCCAAGGGGGAATGAGGAAACCCCTCTCTCCATGGCGATGTGGCCTAGGTGACAGGGAAACACATAACCCAACATAAGTATGTACAGGGCTGTGACCACGGTGCCAGATCAGCAGAAAGGGTCGAAACGGTGAAACTGTTTCAATATTTCACACACAGGATATAATGGGGAAGGACAAAACTGCCTATAAATTTGTTATTCCTGTCTTAATCTGGATTAAACTTGCCAGAATGGTAGCCCCATCCGGGGGCAGGAAGTTTGCCAAGTTTCACGGAAATAGGTGCAAGGAGTTCAGGGAACTGCACCCCAAAGTTTTGAAAGCAAAACTCATGTCAGGTGTATGTGTTAAGCCACAGTGGGGTCAAAACTCCTTACATGCTACTCCCTGCAGAGGCCACAAAGCCTGGCAAGTTTCAAGGAGATAGGTGCAAAGGTTTTTGGGAAACTGTACCTCAATCTGCGGACAAGCAAAACTCGTGACATGGGTGACACTGAGGGTGTTAAAGTGCAGGAGGGTGAAAGCTGCCGGCCTGCTAACCCCAGCTGAGGCCATGAAGCCTGCCAGCTGTCGAGGAGATCGGTGCAGGGGTTCTGGGTTCTGGGGCCCTGCACCTCTGGCTGCTGACAGGCAAAACTCGTGACATGGGTGCTTGTGCAACTGTCTGTCTTGGAGCATGGGGGTGGAGAAACTACTGTAGACCTGGCTGCTAGGCCCTGCTGTGACCACAAAGACTGCCAGCTGTCAAGGAGATTGGTGCAGGGGGGTTCTGGGGCCCTGTACCCCTAGCTGCTGACACACAAAACTCATGACATGGGTGCTCATGCAACTGACTGTCTCTGTCTTGGGGCAGAAGCAATTCCCGGCTCTGTATTGATTTTTCCTCTCCTTAGTCTGTGATTTTGTATGTGTTAATCCTTGCTCATTAACTCGTTATGCTAGCTAACTACTGTGTTTTAATCAATCTTGATTCACTCAGGGAGCAGCTCAATACACAGTAGCTAGCTACTAGATAATGAGCTAATGAGCAAGGATTAACACCTACAAAACCACAGACTAAGGAGAGGAAAGAATCAATACAGAAAATCAACTACCCCAAGACAGAGACAGTTGTACAAGCACCCATGTCACGAGTTTTTCTTGTCAGCAGCTAGGGGTGCAGGGCCCCAGAACCATCCTGCACCGATCTCCTTAACAGCTGGCAGTTTTGTGGCCTCCACAAGGGCTAACATGCCTGAAGTTTTGACCCCACTGTGCCTTAACACATACACATGACACAAGTTCTGCTTTCAAAACCTGGGAGTGAAGTTTCCCTGAACCCCCTGCACCTATCTTCTTGAAGCTTGGCAGACTTAATGCTCTTGGAAGTGGCTACCATTCCTGCAAGTTTCATTCAACTTAAGCCAGAAATAACAAAGTTATAGGCAGTTTTGTCTTGCCCCATTATAGCCTATGGGTGAAATGTCGAAACAGCGTTGAAACGACAAAACATTTTTACTTGCCTCGTTTTGTTTCAAGGCTGTTTCAACAATATCTGTCTCATTTTGTTTTTGCTGTTTCAACCTTGAAATGGATCGAAATAGTGTTGAAACAAAACTGGCGGCGAAATTTTGCACAGCCCTAGTTACCACAATGGAAAGAAATCTGGGAGTGCATTTTTTCACCCATGGCTATTTTATGTATGAATGCAGGCCAGTATTGTTTAATCTCTCCTCTCCTGGCTCTGTCCATTCTGCCTTCCCTGCCCTTTCTCCTCTCTTCCCTGCCCTTTCTCCTCTCTTTTCTTATTCTACTTCCCTCCTTCTCTCCCATTCTTTTTCCTCTACTTGTTAATATTCTTTCATTTACTTTCCCCTTTCCCCTCTCGGCCCCTCCTCTTTATTCCAAGAAGCTGGTCAGTTTACTGGAAATTGGATGATACATTCAGGAAGCCACTCCCCAGTATCAACCCAAGCCAAAGTATGGTGAAAAAAAGTCAGCATAAGACAGCAGCATAGCCTGCAAGGCTCCAGGATGAGACATGGAGGAGTAGGACAGCTGTCCATCTGCCCCAAGCTCCTGATGGAGCCAGTGACCATAGAGTGGGGGCACACCTTCTGCCAAGCCTGCATCACCCAACACTGTGAGGAAATGTGCCCATGTCCCAGGTGATGCCTTCTCTTGTCCCAGGTGCAGAGCAGGGCTCCAGAGGGAGCTTCTGACCCAACACTCAGCTGAGAAACATGATGGAGAAGATTAAGGAACAGAGGTTGAGACCAGGAAAGGAACAAATGGGCTGTCAGGTCCCTGAGTTCACCTAACACTAGGTAGGTGCTTTTGCTCACATTGGGCTTGGCTCCTGATGCCGATTCATATGCCGTGTGTTGTATCATTCTTTCCACAGACCACTTGTCCCTCATTAGATTTGCCTAGATCAATGTTTTTTTCTACCTTCTAATGACCAGCAGCCTCCTTGATGGAAAGCACTGCATGACTGGGGTGAGCCTGGGACCCTGTGCAGATCACACAGAGGATCTCTTCGTCCTCCATGCAAGAGAAATTGATGTTGTTCTAGTGCTTTTCACACTGATTTCCCATTTGTTCCTTTCCTGGTAGAGTTTGACCCACAACTGATCAGGGAGAGGGCATGGGGAAAGGCTGGAAGGAAGTGGATCTGAGTCCAGAAAGGAACATCAATATTTAAACCAGTGTTTCCTAGCCTTTTCCAGCCCAAAGAACACTTACATTAATAAAAGTTTTCTGTGGCATACCTGTTAAGCATTCCCCATCCTCATACCTATCATAGCTCCTTGTAGCTCATTGCTGTGGCAAAATTCTTTGGTGCACCTGTTCATTTCTGACAGCACACTTTTGTTCCATGGCATACTGGTGGAGAAACACTGGCCTAAACCACAAGTTGCAGAGCCTACACAAGCAGGCACCTTGGGGTTGGGATGTGAGGGAGACCATGTGAGAGGTGAAAACCCTGTTCAGGGCCTGGTACAGGGATCAGGAAGGTCTTCCTGGCCCAGGCCCCCTGGGTGGAGGAGGGGGAGGAGAAGTCTGCTTATTTTAGCAAGATGAAGGAAACCAAGAAGAAAGCAATGACCAACCTGGCAGGCAGAGCGGGGGTGGAGCACTGGTCAAGTAAGGGGATGCTGGAGATGGTGGTGGCATTCTACCCAGAGCTCAACACTGTGCACCCAGAGGACCCAGGGGTCATGCAGGAATTCCTGCAAAAGCTCATGCAGATCCTTGGAGAGGAGAAGGGTCAGAAGTGGGTGCAGGAGTGGATGTTGGAAGAGATCAACACAACACGGCACAGTTTTTAGAATGGAAAGACTCCTGGGGCAAACATCCTGCCCAAGGAGTTCTACATTACTTTCTGGGACCTGGTGGGCCCAGACCCGCTAGAGGTCTATAGAGAGTGCCTGCCAGAGGGTCATTGTGGACCAGGAATTGAGGAGGGTCTCATTATCATTCTTTACAAGAAGGGGGAGAGGTGGGAACTGAATAACTGGGGTCCTATGATGCTCCTGAATTTTGACTACAAAGTAATGGCCAATGTTTTGGCTGTGCTTTTTAAGTCTGTTAATTCCACAAGGACTAGGCATGCATGGTGTCAGGCTGGCAGATCCACAAAGCCCTGATGAAGCTGTGAAACATGCTACAATACCAATGGGAGAGAGGGCAGAACACCACCATGCTGAATCTTTACCTGAAGAAGGCTTATGACTAGGTATCCCATCAGTTCCTATTGGAGACACTGAAAAAGATGGGAGTCCCCTTAACCTTTAATCACCTGGATAAAGACATTGTACATCAACATGAGCATCAGAGTACTGGTAAACAGAGTCCTGACAGCCCTGACTGTGGTGGAGTTGGGTATCAAGCATGACTGCCCACTCACTTTCCCCAATCCTTTTTTTCTGTGTGATGGGATTGCTAGCACCATGGTTCAGACAATACCCCAGGATCAGTGACATGAAGATCCTCAGGAGCAATGGGGAGGAGACAAAGGTCCTGGCCTACAGGATGACCTCAATATCATATGCAATATCATATTCACAGACAAGTGCTCAGTTGAAAGAGCTTTACACCATACCCAGGTATATGGAGCAGCAGCAGGGGCCAAGCTAAATGTGAGCAAAAGCACTTGACTCATACTGGGCAAACTCAGAGCCCTGCGAGTCTCTGTCCCCTACGAGGGAGTAAAGATTCTCAGGATGGAGTTTGGCTGGACAGAGGGCATGGGAAAAGACTGAGGCCAAGGTCAAATAGTGAGTGGGACTATGGCAATCATGCTGCCTGTTCATTATGGGTGGGGGGCACATGGCATTCATGAAGACAGTGATACTACTAATGCTTCTACACCCCCTCTAGTCTTCATCCCCTCAGTGCAAGTCATCCACTGAACCCAGAGAACCATGTGTGTTGTCTCTGGAGATCCACATGGGGCAAAGCGGTAAAGGACCACATTCTACAAAGGAAAATGGTGCAGAGGCAGGCCAGACATCCTGCTATTCCTCTAGGCCAAGAACATGAGCCAGATTTGCAAAATGGCAATAAGGACAGAATCCAAAACAGCTCATTCTGTAAAGTATTTTACAGGGCAGCTACTGTGACAGTGGTAGGTGTACATGATGACCAATGTGAACCCATGGACTATGAAGTCCCCATATTTCTACAAAGCCCCAAAGTATTTCCACCACAAGATGCAGGAGGTGATAAAGACAAGAGACATTATATTGCCCGTGGACTTGCTACCTGGTGAAAGTGTCCAGGCATTGTGGGAGCGAATCTTCTACAAGGACCTGCAGAAGGAGCACAGAGACTTGAACTGGCAGGTAGCCCACTGGACATTTCTTGTGTGGGCATGGAAAAACAGTGTGGGGCAGACAGGCCCATCTAACTTCCCCAGACAATTTTGCTGGTGACATACAGAAACAATCAAGTTCTGGGACTGCCTATACTCTAGCAAAGTGTGGAAGAGAATATGCGTACCATTCCTGGTGATAACAGGTTTCATAACCCTGACCAGAGAGGCAGTTCTGTATGGGTACTTGACTACGCAGCAAGGGGCCTGATAGCCCGCTTCAACCAATTCATCTCCTGTTTCAGGAACATCCTGTGGAAAACCATGAACTTGCTCATAAACAGGCACATAAACCTCCCAGTCCAGGACTGTATTAAAAAGGGACAGAGTGAGATGCACTGGTAGTACAGGAAGATGGTAGAAGAGGATGGAAAAGAGATTGCAGACATCATATGGAAGAGAGGGGACTGGCAGATTTTACAGAGGCGAGCCCTCCAAAGAGTGTAATGAGGATGATGACAATGATGACGACGACAAGTAAAATACGATAATGAATGAAAGGACTGGGCAAACAGGTGGGGGAGTTGGTAAGGTAGGGAAAGGGGGAAGGGGCAAGAGGACTGAGGTAGTCTTTTGTGCAATTGGACCTTGGTTTCAAGGTGATGGTGATGAGCGCAAGCATGCAGGAACGTGGATGCACAGTGTGGAATTTATAACAGGACTAAGAATGATGTAATTGTAAAAGTGTGTTTTGGACTGTCAAGTGAACCATAGTGGTCACAAGACAGGCTGTTAGAGGTACAGTTATATATATACACTAGCAAATTGCCTGTCAAGAATGACTGGGGGCAGAGGGGGCAGAGCCCCCCCCCCCACCATGTCCAAGCCCG